GAAAGAAATAATTATTAAATAATAATTAAATAACTTGGCCTCCTCTGGGGGGTGGCACGGCACCTCAGAGCCATGCGTTTCCATCTCCGCATCACCTGGAAGTCTGCCCAAGGTCATGTTTGGAGCAGAAAATTCTGCCGTGGCAGAGGGTTGTGTTATGGAGCAAGTCTGTGTTCGTGGCAACATCTGTCCATGGTAAATTTTTGCTGGGATGTGGCCCCCTGTGCCCCTTCCCAATGCTACAGGTGCTGCACAGTGTAACCCAAAACTTTTGTAACCCAAAAGGGGTTACGAAGAGGGATGTGGGACAATGAGGCAAACACTAATTTTTAGAAAGGGCCATTGCTTGGCCTCCTCTTTCCAGACAGAGACCTGATCTCCAGCATTGGCACATGAGGGCCACCACTGCCATGACCCTCAAGCTGGTCCCCCCGTACCAGTCGCTTGTGAGGATGCAGCACTGTCTCAGCACACGGGTGAAGGCAAAATCCCCCAAATTCCCCACCTGATGTTGCATCAGTCCCCGGATCGCTGGGGACCATCACCGCTGGTGCTGCGCATCTCTTTCAAAGGTATGATTCAGAAAACAGGTATTACCTCCCAAAAAACCCCCAAGGGCTTCTGTACCCCATGGCAACTGCTGCCCCACGGGGTGTGTATGCCGTGCTCCTAGCGGCTGTGACGCACGTAGGGCTGCTGATGCCCTTTGGTACCCCCAGCATCTCGGGTTCGCGTGTTTGCTTTGGCGTTGGCTAAACCACTGCCGAGGTATTTCCAGGGAGATGTGTTGCTGCAGCAAGCGGGGATGGAAATGCCACTTCGGTGGGGTGAGTACCACCAAAAACATCTGTCTGCACCAGGGCGTCGCAGCGTGGGACGGGCACGGAGCAGAGCCAGCCCTGCTGGGAAGGAGCGAAGAGAGGTCAAGGACAAGTTAAAATTGGAAAGAAAACTGAACATGCCGTTTTGTAGAACCTTGCTTGCTCTCATCTGCCAATTTTTTTCCACCACACACCCCCTCCCTTCCTATGGCCAGCAGGGCAGTGTGAGCATCTCCTCTGGCTGGTGGGGCCAAGGGGGTCCATGGTGGCCAAAATTTCTGGGAAGAGCCACCAACTTGCAGGGGCTCTTCTTGGCAACCTCAGTCACCGCCGGTTCCCTTTTCACCCACCATCATATTATAAATCTACTTGCCACTGTGTTATTCCTCCCCATCCCCAGATTTGCAGCGTGCTGCACATTTTTGTGCTGAAATTCAGAGCTCCATTCTGGAAGCTGCCAAGCATGAGCCTGGATTGTGTAATGAGCTTCATCTATTATTATTTTTTTTCTCCCCCAAGAAGTTTTTGGAATAACAATGTCTGAGAGCTGGGAAAGACTTGGTAGCTTTTATACCTACCACAGCATTGCTTTCCTGGGTGCTGATGGGCTCGAGCCCCTTGCAGAGGCTGTCACATTCCCCCTCTTTGTGCCCCAGAAGCTCCTCCAGCCTCTGGGTCCACTTCCCAGATTGAAGCAAGGATGAACTCACAGTTCCAAATATCTCCCTTAAAAATATCGTTTTTGCATTTTTATCTTGACAGCCCCAAGCAGAGGCTGAGTTTGTTTAATGGGCAGGGGGAAGGAGTTGCTTTCGCAGCCATGAACAGAGTCCTGTGCTAACCCCGCGCAGCACTGCCAGGGACGCACTCAGTGGGTCACCAGCCCTCGACTCCCTTGGCGTCTGACCCAGCTGGAGCTGAAGGAGATGCTGGATGAGGCCAAGCCCAGTGACGGGGACCAGGCAATGCCAGCTGACCCAGGAGAGCATTTGGGCAATCTGATCCTGGGGCTTTGCAACCCCAGACACTAACACAGAGGCTTTAGAGCCTCACTTGCTGCTTCCATTTTCCCCTCCCATGGGGCTCGTTTTCCTTATCTCTACCTGGTTTTGCCCTCTGTGTCCCACTCCCACCACACTTGGTCCCATGTTTGCATGCTGCTCAGGTCAAGCCCAATTCAGCCCTTTCTGTGCCCAGGACCTACTGCAGCCAAGCTCAAGCTGCTGCCACTCCTCCAGCAACATCCACAGTCTTTGCACCTCATCACCCCAGGCAGAGCAGCCCCAGGGCCTCCCGTCTGCTCTGCTTGAAAGTGGCAAACAAATGCAAAAGTTGTTCAGAGGAACTGACTGTGATCGTACAAGTTTGTGTCCGCAGGAATGTGAGATAAAAACATCCCCAAGGTCACAGCCACTGTGCAAGCCTCTGTGCAGTGGGTGGTGGGCCCCCCTCTGGGCTGCCCCTTACACAGGACGCAGAAAACTCTCTTTCCACTAATGTTTTTTTTTAATTTTATTTTTCATGTAGGCATTACAGTAATATATTTATTATCACAGCAGATTCTTGCAAACAGAAAGCAAACCCTGACCTCACGTCAGGACAGCCCAGCGCTGGAGCCGCAGCAGAAAGCATCACAGCACCATGAACTCAGCAGCTCCCAGCAGGCGACTGCCCTGTCTGCGCAGGTAATTTAACAACTCAACAGCCCAAGCAGAGCATTTCCCTGCGATAACCACCTGGCAGAGGCGAGGAGGTGTGTCAGCAGCTCACGTGGGTTATCGCTGGGAGAAGCATCACTGCAAACAGGGGTGTGAGGGAACGCAGCCCCAGCAGGCAGCCGGGCACGCCGGCCAGCTGGCATCGCTCGCGCACCCACATCGCTGTTGTGGGGCCAGGTAGCTTAGCAATGCCAACCCAAACCTATTAAATACCCTGTTATAAAGTAATTTAAGGAGTGGTAAAGCCAGGGATGACGTGGGTGCAGGAGAGGTGTAAGCGCCAGCGGCACCTAAGCCCACGAGGGTTTAGGCTATGATTTCTTTCAAACATTTGGGTGCCACAGCCAAGAGGGTGTCCATACTGGGTGCTGATAGCAGCCCGGAAGACTCATGCCCTGTGGGTGCTCCCATGCTGGGGTCCCCTACTCCCCGCATCGCTCCAGACGCATCCATGGGGTCAGGCCCCACTGTCTGACTGCAACGTGGCTCCAGGAGATACTAAAATGGGAGATGCATATTAGCTCCGGACGGAAAATATTTCAGCTAAATCCATGCTATAACCATTTTATTGACTCCAATACCAGAGAGAAGGTTAGAAGTGACTCTTTTACAAGTCATTTTTGCTGTTAAATTTAGCTGTCCTATTTTCATTATCCCCATGGCTTTGGCAAGGGTGAGCAGCCTTCCCTAAAAGGCCTTGTTTCATACAGTAAGTTATTTGCTTCTCTCCTGACAGATATCTAAGCTTATAAGGTTTGTCTGCGCCGCTCAATAGCAGTATCAGCCTTCAATCTTATATGATTAGCATCAGCATTTCATATTTGCTTTTGGCTCCCCATCTGACAGCTTTCCATGTTGCTGAGGACTGGGACGTTGGGATGGTGTCATGTCACTTGTGATGTGAGATCATCTGATTTTGATTCCCAAGCTTCATGGTATGCCCAAAAGATTTGGATAAATCATTCGTTTGCTTTTCCCCCTGTTTTCCCTAGTGCCCAGAAAAGATAATTGATTCGTTCCATTTGTTTCGTGGTTGTCAGGTCTGCAAAATATTGAGTCGCTAGGTCAACATGGTACCAAGTGATGGGCCATTGAACATGAGAGGTGATGATGTTAAAAGAAATGCTCTGGAAAGGAAAGATTTCTTCCAGCAGGTTAAACTTTTCCATATTTCCAAAACCATCTCCCCCTGCAGAGCGAGACCTTGTCCCAGCCTTGGCGGCCGCAGGCAAACAGCACCTCCTTCGAGGTCACAGGAGGCAGAAGATGAACCAGGGCTCATGGATTGGAGCCTGTCCTTGCAGAGAGTGCTGAAGCTGCAAGACTCTGGGCTTTTTTGGGGAAACATCCTCTGCTTCCTTCAAAAAACAACCCTCCTCAGCCCCAGGGCTCCCCAGCAATGAGCTCACCCCCATAGGGCTGTGCCCTCGAGGCTGCCCAGTGGGATGCAGTATGGGTACAGGGTCCCCCATCCACAGCCTCTGTGCTTTCCCCAGCAATGAGGCAGAACCCCTGCCGAAGCTTCCCACTGCGGCGAGGTGGGCCCCCAAATCTCAGTCTGACATGTACAAATCCATCCCCTTTCTCAGTGATATTTTTACTTCAAGCAGCGCCTGCACCACCCCGCCGAGCATCCCTCGCTGTGACCCAGGCTCGCCGGCCCAGCCCCGCTCACAGCCGTGCCTTTCAGGAAATGCTGCAAATGCTAAAAATGCTACGAAATGCTCCCAGCCAGCCCGGTGCAAGAGCTGGGAACCAGCCAAGCCCCAGCTGGGCAGCCTCACCACAGGAGAGGGCCAAACCAGGCACCCAGCTGCCCCGTGGGTTGGCTCTGAATTGCTGGGCTGAGGTTTCTGTGCCCCTCCAGCCCTTTCCTGAGCCTTTTCCCAGGGCAGGCTTTGAGGGACAGAGCAGGACATGGGTTAGGGACACAAACAGGACACCCACAGCCTGAGGTTGCTGCTGGGGCAGGAAGGGTGATACCCCTACCCAAGTTCTTAAAATCCTTTCCTGGGACCCCTACCATCTCCTCCATCCCGATGTTGCCCCCAGGGATGCCTCTTGGTCCCTGCTCACCCCTAGCCCTGCCCGCAGCCCCTCTATCCCCAGGGAGGGCCCCTTCCCCGGGCGAGGATGCATCCCCCGTGGACGGGTGGCTCCATCGCAGTGGCACGTGGGCTCAGCAGCGGGGTGGCCCTGCACCCTCCCACACCCCGTCCCACCCCCGGACCATGTAGGGCACCAGCTGCTCCCAGCCCAGAGCTTATAGGAAGAGGAAACCCCGTCCCCGCGCAGAGGAGGAAACCCAACAGCCCAGATGCGTGCAGAGCAACACCGATAGCACTTTTATTTTCTTTTTTTTTCATCCTCTCTGCAAATAAAGGAGTTGCACGAGCAGCGGCGGACACGGCCTGACCCGCAGCGTCGTGAACAGCAGGGCTGGCGGAAGGCTGTGGCACAACCCTGGCACAGCCATGGGGCAGAAATGCATGGAGAAAGTGTCCTCCTTCCTCTTCGAGTATGACACCCCCAGGATGGTGCTGGTGAGGAACAAAAAGGTGGGACTGACCTTCCGGCTGATCCAGCTCATCGTCCTGGCGTACATCATCGGGTAAGGGTCCCTGGTGCCTGCTTTCCCCTGAATTAATGCTTTGCCACCGGCTTAAAAAACAGTGGAGATGAAGGGGCTCGTATATCCCCTGTATCCTGATGCGGGGGGTGTTTAATTGCTGATGGCTTCACCTTCCCCTGGCTGTGGCCACTCCTGTGCTGCCCAGTGTCCCACCATGGGTCTTCCAGATGGCCACCCAGTCCCCGTGTACTCACCAGAAGCTGCTGTGTGCGCGGGCTGGAGGCTCATCTCTGCCCAGCCCAGCTCTGCACACCGGGGCCCCGGCGCCTCACTGAGCTGCATCCAAATCCCACTCAAACTGCTGGATGGTGGCCTGAGAATCTGTTGTTATTTTTATTTTCACTTATATTAACTAAGAGGCAGCTGGGGCCAGCGCAGTGATTTGTGAGACTCAAGCGGCTCAAGACAGGACCATAAATCTCCCCGTCCGCCGCCCTGCCAGGGAGGCAGGGCCAGCCCAGCGGCTGGGGCTGGGACGGAGCCTCGCTCCAAATCCCTGGTTTGCTTCGCTTGTGGGAGGCAGCCCCGAGAGCAGCCACGGTGCAAGAGCAGCTGCTTTAAAAAGGCAGTGAGTAGAGCAGGCGAGCTTAGAGCTGCGTGAGAACATGTGTCCTTGGGTGGCCCGAGGCTGCTGCTCCTGCCACGCAATTCGGTCCCCGTCCCCTCGCTGTCCAACAATGCGCCATGCTGTGGGATGTGATGATTGATAAAAATCTTTGCTGTGGGCTGAGCCCTTGAGAGAGACCAGCACCCTTCCATCGGGAAGGGCCCCAGGCAGGATGTTTGCAAGGAGAGGAGGTGTCTGGCAATGAACTCGAAAAAATTGATATTTCGGGGAAACAGGGCACCTAGTGCAGCCCAAAGGAGAGGCAGCAGCTCCCAGGGCTCAGTGCAAGCGAGTAGCTGCAGGGAGCAGCAGTGCCCATCCCTGCTTTTAGCACAGATCCCCTGGAAAGGGGGAAAAGCTTCCCTGGGGCTCATTGTGGGACCCCTGCGTTGCTCCCACCCTGCTCACCAGCACAAGGGTAATCCTCATCCCAAACTGCTGCTGAGCCAAGGTCTCAAGGACACTCTGTTGTGAAGGGTTTTGGCCCAGCCTGATGTTACTGGGAGCAGTGTTGGCTCTCCTAAAGGCTGAGCCTGTGAAGCCCCAGGGCTCCAGCAAAGCCGGCCAGGGGCAGCCACACGGGGAGCCAGCAGAGAGGGTTGCTCAGAGTGGGACCTCCTAAGGAAATGTGGCTAAAACACCCAGCTAAAACAGGGCAGCCAGCCAGGAGGGAGAAAAAAGAAAACCAGCTTGGGGGTGACAGCCAGGGGCAGAGGGGAGGAGGTTGCTATAAAGTTGCTGTAATTCCTAAATTGTTGCTCTGATTCCTAAGTTTTTGCTGTTTTGGTGGGGTCGGGCTCTGCTAGCAAAGGGCTGCCTGTGAGGGTGCTGCCCGTAGCCCCACCAGCCATTGGCATCCCCTCGCTGCCTGCAGCACTGCCTCTGGTTCCCTGCCTGCACTGAGCCACGCCGCTTGAGATTTTTTCTTCTTTGTAAGCCAGTTTGGCAGGCAGAGATCTGTTTATTTACAATTACCCCAGCTTTGGTCCCCCTTGGCAGCAGGCGTGGGATGCTTGTGGGGATGCGTGCCAACGTGTGGCTGTCCTGGAGGGATGTGTGGCAGTGCCATCAGTGCAGAGGAGGGACGTGGGACTGACCCCACTGAGACACCCGGAGTTGCCCTCAGGGAGCACTCTTCTTTCTGCTGATGAGCTGAGATAAGGCAGTATTGCTGCTGGCCAGGGAACACTGGGCACTCCCTGGCTGGACATCGCTTTCTGGCTTTTGTTTCCTGAATACCTGGCATGTGAGCAGGTTGCGGGGGGAGCCGCAGGAGGGGGCCAGCAAGGGAAGGGGGCTTGGTGACTCTGCCGCATCGGAGAGTGACACCAGGGGACTTTTACCACGTAGGCAGGGCTAGAGGCAGCATTTACAGCACGATGGGGAAATGATGCCTTGTTTGCTGTGACCACATCTCAGTGGCAGGGTGAGGGCCACATCCTGCCTTGCCATGGGGAGGCTGTGTCACAGCGGGGTGCCCAGCTCTGTGTGCCTGCAGTCACCTCTGCCAAGGAGGGATGAGGTGGCAGTGGCAGAGGCTGCGCTGGAGGCAGATTTGGGGAAACACTCCACCACGGTGCTGCCCAGCTCACAGCCTTCTGTAGCTCTGAAAGCATCGGGGAAGATACCCAGTGTAACCAGTGTAACCCAGTATGGCCCTCTGCCTTGGAGGAGGAGGTTGGAGCTGGGGATCCCAGCTGGGGTGGCTGCAGTGCTGAATTTCTGCTCCCATCCCCAGGTACCGGGGCAGATGCCACCCTTGAGGTCCCCTCACCCCATGTCCCAGGATGCCAACAGGACTGCAAGCCAAAATCACTGTCCCCAGGAGGTCCCCATAAGGTCCAGCACCCATAGGGCAGACCTCCAGGCAGCACCTGGGGTTCCCCCATTTTCCCCCATGCCCATCAGTCAGGTGCCCAAGGATGGGCCAACACACCAGGCTGGCGTCACTGGCCATCCGTCGGGCAGCGGGCTGCCTGTCATGGCTGGTGGGACCAGTGCCCGCGGCAGCGGGGACAAAAACCAGATCTCTCCTTTTTTAGCACCAGGAACGCTCCGCGCTGCCGGAGCACTACCCGAAATGGTTGCTCGCCCATGTTTATAGTCTCCCTGAGTCAGAGTTAATCCAGCGGCAGCTTGTTTATGCCATAGGTTAAATAGTGTCAGGAGCCAGCCCTAATGGCAGCGCAATGGGCTGGGAAATGCAGGGAGAGCCCCATAACGGCCACAGCGGTGTCCCCAACCCTGCTCCTGCAGCCCTCTTGCACCCAGGACTATGGCTCTGCAGTTCCCTTTGCTGGATGGGGAATGGTGGCCCTGGATGGGAGCCACGGCCAGACTTACCCCTGTCTTGGCCCTGGGGGCACTGATTTTTGGAGAGTGCCTGTGAAGCAGATCAGGAGGGTCTGGGTGGGTCGCTGAGCCCAGCAAGCTGCAAACCCGCCACAGGCTTTAATCCCAAATGGCTGATGGCCACCCTGCTCCACCTGCCTTCACACACCCTCAACACAAAATGTGTCCCAGTCCCCAAAATAAATCATCCCACCATGGAAGTCAGGTCCTGCAGCTACCACCTGCCTCAGGCAAAGGGGGGGGAGAGCTCAGCAACACGTCCCTCATCCATTTGGAGGAAATTTGGCAAATAAACCCCCAGGTGAGACTTGGTAGAAGAAACTCTAGTCCACAGTGATGTGCTGGGACTTGGGGCTCCTGCAGATGAGCGCTGGTGGCCATGCTCACCCCACCACCTTTCCCTATCCAGGTGGGTTTTCCTCTATGAAAAGGGCTACCAGTCTCAGGACAGCATCGTCAGCTCAGTCTCGGTGAAGCTGAAAGGCCTGACGCTGACCAACGAGAGTGTCATGGGCCCTCACATCTGGGACGTGGTGGATTATGTTTTCCCCCCCCAGGTAAGGAGGCAGGGTGGGTGGGTTAGGGGGGCTGCTTTTGTCCCAATGGCCGCTTTTCCCCACGTGCCAGGGTGCAGACGGACTCCTCAGCATAGGTTTCCCATGCAGCTGATTATAACATGGTGTCCCTGTGGTGGAAAGCAGGTTGGTCCTGCCACAAACCTCTGCCCACATATCACCCCTGGGGAGCATTCGGTGCTGGGGACCCGCCATGGTTGATGGGGCACATTTGAGGCTGCCTCCAAAAAGATGAAGGCTCCTCTGGTGCCTCCAGACAGGCATCTCACGCAGCAAGGGGGGTCCTCCACTGTCCCCCGGGCCTGGTGGCACTGCAGCTCCCCAGGGCCACCACCAGCTTCCTGAGCTGTGGCAGAGGAGGGTGGAGGATCCAAAGTTAGGGAGAAAGGTGCCGTCTGCCTGCACATGCTCTGGTGATGTTGGTGCCCTACCCCTTGCCCAAGGGAAAGGCCCCTTGCAGAAAATGCCATGCCAGCTGTGAGCTTGTTGGCTCTATCTCCACAGGGGGACAACTCATTCGTGGTGATGACCAACTTCATTGTCACCCCTGGACAGAAACAAGGAACCTGCCCGGAGGTAAACGCACTGTCTTCACTCAGTGGCCTCAGCTTCTGTAATTTAAGGGGGTTGTGGTGGTGGCACTGGGGAAGGAGTTTCCTGACATTGAAAGGTTTAGTGAACGCCTGAAGCTGGCCCCATATTATTGTTCCTGACTTGTGAGTGCTATGTGAAGGCTTTTATTCTGCTGACAAACAGCCAGCGTCCGTTTAAGTTTCTTCTCTTTGAGATGATCATGCAGAACAGACTCAAGGCTTTAATAAAAGCATCTGCCTGGAGTTTAAAAAAGAAATTCCCCCTTTTTCCTGCTTAAACTGGGCTTCCTTGGTTGGGAAGTGGTGTACGGATGAGGCTCTGGCTGCAGCTGGGCAGCATTTCCCCCGACCAGAACACTGCCTGGTGGGGCAGGAGGGCCAGTGGGAACAACCCTGGAGGGTGTGATGCTGAGAGGTGGCCGCCTGCTTTCTCCAAACAGCTGCCAGATGCCGGGCTCTGCACACAGGACAGCGACTGCAGCAAAGGGAAATACAGCCGCCAGGGACAAGGTACGGCACGCAGCCCCGAAGCTCCAGCGCAGGCATTTCTGGTGAGACACGCTGAGCACAACGTGCTCCGGCGAAGCCTCGTGGCTGGGGTGTCTGGCAGGGAGACCTGCTTTGGACCACCAGCTGACAGTGTTTGAGAAAAACCTCTGACATGCTGGGTGAGAGTCCCACCTGGGCTGGTCCTGTTTGCCTCTTCTGAAAGATATCTGAGCTGCAAAAAGCTCTGCCAACAAAACGTTAATCAAGACTAAACCATTTACCCCACACCGCTATCCTTCTAACAGCTTGGCATTTTCTGAGGTGTATTTTAGCAAGAAAATTGCCCAGTTGCTTCCCTGTGCAGTAGCACAAGAGAAACCACTGCCCCGAGCTGAGAGGCCACAATTAATTACCCCTTTTATAAAGGGGTACCAAAGCCCTGAGTGTCTTATGCCTTGGATGTCTGTGGCAGGGCTGAAGTTTCAAGCAGATGCCATCCATCCCAGTGTGAGGCTGGGATTTCCCGGTATCCAGGGGTGTGGAGTAGCTTGCTCTCTTCCCCACAGGGCTCATGACAGGCAAGTGTGTGCATTTCAACAGCTCTGTGAAGACCTGTGAGATCTTTGGCTGGTGCCCCGTTGAAGTTGATGACCACGTTCCCAGGTAAGGAATGATGTTGCTGCCCCCTTTTCCACCCCAGTTCCCAGCAGCACTCAGTGTAGGGCTGGGCAAGCTGGGGCTCTGCAGGTTGCCCCCAGGACAGCAGATGCAGACCCCATGGCTGTACATGCTGCTCAGTGTCCCCAGGGGGTTTGTGCCTCTCCTGGAGTGGCCGTTCACCGCATCTCTGCTGGGTGCTCTGTGCATGGACCAGCAGCCCCTGTCTATCCCATTTGCCTTCAGAGTAAAGTTGTGCTCTGCCCATGAGATGTTCTCCACCTCCAGCCTCCACAGGCCACTGTGAAGCATCTCCTGGTAGATGCAAAGCCCTTTTTTTCCTTGCCCCCCCCCCCAATCTCACTGGAGGGCCACAGGGACAGCCACAGGTCCAACAAGCAGCCCAGGGAAACATGCAGGCCCTTGAGCATCTTCCGACCACCTCACTGTGCTTTTGGGGTTTCTTAACTGAAATCCCAGCACCTAACTCCCTCTCTGTCCCCTAACAGGCACTTCCATTCTTCCTCGGGGCTTTTCTGAATGTCCTTGGGATCTTTCACTTAGAAAGGGAAGGGATGAGATCACCAGTTTTTCTGGGTCCTATCCATCCCAGTTTGGATGAATCTCCTCCAAATGTAAAGGACGGAAAGCTGAGTGATGGACACATGTCAACAACATTTTTTTTTCAGCCCTGCCCTGTTGTCAGAAGCAGAGAAGTTCACCTTGTTCATCAAGAACAGCATCACCTTCCCCAGGTTCAAGGTGTCCAGGTAAGGGGGGGGTTTGGGGGGATGGCTTCTGGTCGGTTCCCCCAGCCATGTCGCTCAGGGGAAACCATGGCTATAGCTGGAATCTTGATACAGAGAAGGCCGTCCCTCATCAGTGAGCCCAGGTCTACTCTGACTGCTGCACTGGTCACCAGATTAGCTGATAGGAACTGTGGTGCTTCCCTCCCAAATCTGTCCCACCTCAGCTGGTACCTGTGGTTACAGGAAAGAAGGTTTCTGGAACATCCCCTGAGTTACCCTCACATGATGCACGTGAAAATGCACCTTCTCTAATTCTTCATTTTTCTTCTCCCTGTTCCTCCCTGAAGCTAACAGTAAAATACTACATGGCACAGTGGGGTGTGAGCAGCTAAGACAAGCCTGGTGCCCAGAAATGAGCAGGGGCCCCTCTGAACATCACGGTTCCCACCTGTTTCTGCAATGGGTTACAGGGTTGGCCCCTTCCAGGCAGCGCTGGAAACAGTGCTGCCGGCTGAAGGCGCGCACGTAAGAGGATTTGTGATGACACTGATTATATATCTGATTTGGAACAAATGAACAGAAGCTATTTGTGCTGAAGATGATGGATTCTTCTCTCTAAGCCGACCGCGTCCCTGCGCTGTAGGCAGGGTTAAATGGCCTGGCAGCCAGCACGCTTGGCAAAATCTCGCTGCACCCAGAGAGGTGGCTGGGAGAGGGGGTCCCTCACCAGCAGCAAGGAGAGGTGACAACCTGAGCGAGGGCAGGCAGGAGAGGGGATATGGTGGGGGAGAGCAGGTCCTGGGAGGTGAGGGCAGCCGGGCTGGCTGCTGTTGCAGGGGCTGAGCCAGAGCTGGCTGGGCTCATGGGGAAACTTCCTGCCTTTGATCATCACTGTTAATTAACTGCCGAGCATGAACAATGGGATGGGGTTGAGCAAGGCCCACGTCTTACAAAACCATCTGGGTCAGGGAGGCTTCACAGAAAAAGAATTTTTAGGCAAAAGAGCAGAGTGGAGTGGAAGGCAAGACATCGCCCTTTCCTTTTCACTCTTTCTGGAGGAGATAGCAAAATCCAGCTAAACATAAAAGCTGTGGGATACCCTGTCCATGAGCTGTCCCGGAAGAAAACTGTTGGTGCACGGAGCAGAGCACATGGATGAGCTGTGCAGCTGGGAGGGATGGTGAAGGCCACAGGAGGGTTTGCAAAGCTGAGGAATAAGAGCAGGGCTTGCTAGAAGAGGTAAGGACAGGCAGACGTGTGCTGGGTTTGAGCAGCAGGCAAAGCGGCAAACCCAAAGCAGAGGTGGAGAATGTTTGCAGCAAAGAAAAGAGGACACGGTCTTCCTCCAAAGGACAAGGTTCGAGAGAAATGAGTTGCTGATGGGGTGGGAGAAACAAGACAGGAAAGGGCCCGCTCTCCATGTGTGGAGTCTGATGAGCATGTAGAGGAGGAGGAGGCCCTGAGCTTCGACGTTATGCAGCTTTGAGGAATAGGTTGGACTAGGGACCTCCAGAGGTCCTTTCCCACTCAAATTAATTGGTTATTCAGACTCTTTCTCACTCTTTTTTCATTCACAGGCGCAACTTGGTTGAGAGCGTTACCAAACAGTACTTGAAGAAATGCACCTATCACAAAGTCACCGATTCCTTATGCCCCGTGTTTGACCTGGGATACATAGTGAAGGAATCGGGTCAGAATTTTACCTTCCTGGCTGTTAAGGTACTTCAATTTCAAATGATGTTTCCT